GTGCCATCATTCTTAAATGATTAACTTGATATTAAGATAAACCTGAGAGGGAAAAAAGCATTGAGAAATCATCTTCATGAGGCCGAGTTCCTCAACCTGCATGATCGAGATTTCTGAACATTGTTGATTTCTTTTACAACACTTTGCACAATTGTGTTTTATCTACCTAGCAATTTATTCTGAATTGCTACTTTACAAGCTTACAAAAATAGGACTCCCAGAACATCTCACTGTTCTTATGAGAAGCTTATATACTGGTCGAGAAGGCTCAACACGAACAGAGTAGGCTGGTTCCAGGATGGCAAAGGACGGCAACAAGGCTATATACTCTCCCTTATTTATTCAACCTCTATGCTGAATATACTGTATATTGAGGGAAACTGATTTGGAAGAAGATGTACATGATTGTAAAACTGGAGGAACAAACATCAATAATCTGGGCTGAGCTGATGACGCTATCCTAATAGCTGAAAATGCAGAGGATTTGCAAGCTCTAATAATAAAAGCCAAGGAGTACAATGGGGAAAAAAATGAGACTAAAATACAATATAAAGAAGACCAAATGAATGGCAACAGATAGAAGAGCCAGCCTTAGAACTGATAATGAAGATAGTGAAGTGTTAGATAGTTTCTGCCTTTTAGGATCAACCATCAACAGTACAGGAACAAGCGGTCAAGAAATATGCCACACAACACTTAGTAGAGTAGCCATGAAGGTCTTGGAAAAGATACTCAAATGCTATGATATGTCTATATCTATAAATAGCAGAATTGTGTAAGCAATGGTACTTCCTGTGACACTTTATGGAGATGAAAATTGAAGAAGCAGGATAAGAAGAGTATTGATGGTTTTTAACGTTGGTGTTGGAGAAGATTCCTGAGAATACCATGGCCAGCCAAGAAAACAAACCAATGGTTCATTGGACAACTAAACCTAGAGTTCTCACTTCAGGACAAATAACCAGGCTAAAGTTATCCTACTCTGAACATATTGTGCAGACCCTGCTCTCTGGAGAAAGTTCCAATGCTGGGAAAGGTGGAAAAAACAAGAACATTGGAAGATCTGAAGCATCAGATTAGGGACAGAATGCCATGGAGAAAATCTGTGATGTGATGTGATGAGATGAGATGACATTAGATTAGATTAGATTAGATTAGATAGAACTGAAAAAAAGTGTTTCTAAAAAGGAAGGAAGAAATCCATGCCTGGCATCATATTTACCCATACACATATCTTAGTGCAATGTAAATGAAAGAAGCTAGATAAGAGGTAGCTACTGCAAGAAAAAGGAATCCAGCTTTGACATGAAGAGTGAAAGATTCGTGGTTGCAAGGAACTGGAAACACCGGAGTCTTTGTCTCGCCACCGGCAGCGCGCCTTACAGTGGCGTCCTGCCCTGCGTAGCAGCAGATGGTCCGAGAGCCCCCGGGGTGCCTCTTGTGGAACCGGCTGATGTCATAGACTTTCCTGTCAATCACCAGCCAGAGTTCTCATGGCGGGCTCCGTGCGCAGCCCGATCTCTTCCCAGGTGAACCGCCCCGAAGGGCCAGACTGATTGGCCGAGGAATCAGCCTCCCTCCTCCGCCTGGGAAGCCATCTCCCCGCGACTGAGGCTTCGGGGAACTTGGCACTGTCCTTTTCAGCACCACGGGAGCGCGGACTGGGCGGGTCCTGGCGAGAGAGTTCCCCCCCACGCCCCCCTTTCCATCTCCGATTGGCCAAGGGCGTCATTGACGCTGCTCCCCTGGAGAACAAACGCGGAGAGGGAAGCACCGAAAGCGCCAACTCGGCTGAGCCTGGGATGTTCAGCTTTTCAAGTACGAAAGAGGAGTTGGCGGCTGGCAGCGTTTTTGCAGTAAGCGGAGCAAACTCCTTTTCTTGGTTCCATAAAAATCCTATTTCTTCGCAAGCAAAACGATAAGAATGAAGGACCCTGAGGTTGATTTCGTGCAGGGCAAGTAAATTGGCAAACAAGATTTGGAGTCTCTCTGTGGAGGCTCTATTCTGACTGGTTTCACTAAGAAGCAAGATCTCCCCACTTCTTTAGCCCCGCAGTCACGGGAGGCAGTTCGATCACAGACCGATCTGCGATTCTGTCTGAAGTTAAGCTCTTCCTGAATGTCATCGTTATTTATTTTGCATGTTCTCACCACAGACGGACGATGCGCGCACTACTTCCTAGAAAAGTGAAAAGTCTGGGACGGAGAAGAGTGAAAGAAATAATCCCGCGATCCAGATCCGGGGGAGGGGAGGGGTGTCTGTAAAGCTTGACCTCTACAACTGGTAGTGATGGGACTGAAATCAGTTTTGCCAGTATTTGTTCATTTTAGAGAATAGGCTGATTTGTGAAATTTAGAGTTGGTTTTTTTTCTTTCCTCCTCCTCTCCATCCCTAGAATACCACAGGTTGAGAATTTCTACCCGCTACACAAAAAGGAGACTGGCACAATCCGAAACAGCTTTTCATTTGTCAACAAATTACAGTGACAAATCCTCTGTCATGTCCTACTGGTATTGTTCGACTGTCATGGGGGATTGACAGGGCCGTATCAGTAATAATCTATATCCACATCTTGCAGTTGCTCAAATGCCTACATTGAGATCCAGTTTGTTTGTGCCTTTATTTTAGGTTTAGGAATTATGTACTCTAGAGTCTTAAAGTCCTTATTTCTCTTATTTTTTATTCTAACTGAATAATTGCATTGCGACAGGCCAAGAAAATGGCTTCAGAAACCTAGAATCAAGCTTTCCAGTACAACTGAGTGAATGTTGTGGGCCACAGCTGGGTCTCAACTAATGGAATTTATAAGAGATGTTTTGCTAAATTGTAAAACAAAATGCTGAAACACCCATGAAAATTTGCTGTAGTCCAAATACAATTAATGGATATGGTGAGAAAATTTTACATAGTTAAGAGTTTTCCCAAAGAGTAGCATAAAAATTTATAAACATTTTCAACAATAAGGCAGTGAGAAGGATAAAACAAAGAATTAGGCAATAAGCATTCTGTTAAAGCTGAAATGAGCAACTCTGAAGGGCATGGTTCAAAGATGATTTGTGAGTTTCCTTAGCTGTGTAATTATAACATGCTTATTTTAGGAGTGAGTTGACAGTTTCCATCTGTTTCCCAGATGGGAAAGATGAGAAAATCTGCTAACAGTTCGCAATAATTATGATCAGAAAAGCTCTAATAATTAGATGATATAAACATTATATCATTATCAAATGATATAATGTCCTAAGTAGTATTTGGAGAAAGAAAATCAATCAATTAGAGCAGTGGTTCTCAATCTTCCTAATGCTGCGACCCTTTAATACAGTTCCTCCTGTTGTGGTGACCCCCAACCATAAAATTATTCCTAAAACCATTGAAAATATGTGTTTTCCGATGGTCTTAGGCGACCCCTGTGAAAGGGTCATTCGACCCCCAAAGGGGTCCCGACCCACAGGTTGAGAACAACTGAATTAGAGGGAAGGAGGAAGAAAAAAAAGAGGGTGGCTACCTGAATGGCATAGATAAAGAAGTATATATACAATCTATTTTGCTCTATACTTTTTTTCCTCCTTTTCTCTCTCTCTTTCCCTCCCTCCCTCTTTGATCTGGCTTATTCCTCCAATACCCCTTGAGTTAATTGTACTGTTATTTCCAGGAGGAGGAGGAGGAGGAGGAGGAGAGGGGGAGGGGGAGGGGGAGGGGGAGAAAGAGGACATTCCTCTTGCTCCGGCATTTGACTTGTGGAAATAACAGTATGACTAGCTCACTCACAGTGAGCTGTTCCACTGGGTGAGTTGCTTGCAGGCAGTTATCAGCAAGTCACTTGGGGCGAGTTAGAGGGGTGAGTCTGCCAGGGTGAGCAAACTGGGGTAAGCTGGCGGTGGTGAGTTGGCCAGGATGAGCCAGCCAGGATGAACCAGCCAATGTGAGTTGGCAGCAGTGAGCCAGTGGCGGTGACCAGCAGATTGTCTCATTCCGCCTTGTACAATGCAATAATTATCCAAAGTAAGTATGGTTTTGTAATTACAAGTCTTGCCAGAATAACTTTATTTCATCATTCCAGGAGCAGGCTCATTTTTTAATGGGCCTGCTCTTGGAAAAATATGGAAAGCTACAACATTTCAAAATCCTCCTGAGTACTAATGAGTTTAGGATCCAATCACACAACTCAGTAAAGGACAAAACTGCTTCCACAGGGAGCAAAGCTGGACAGTATTTTCGGACAATGAACTAACTAAGAAATCTATATATAGATCTCTCTATGGTAGACAAGGGATGAGGTGGCTCAGTGGCTAAGAAACTGAGCTTGTTGATTGAAAGGTCGGCAGTTCAACGGTTTGAATCCCTAGTGCCGCGTAATGGATGGAGCTCCCATTACTTGTCCCAGCGTCTGCCAACCTAGCAGTTTGAAAGCATGTAAAAAATGCAAGTAGAAAAATAGGGACCACCTTTGGTAACAGCGTTACATGCACTTTTGGCATTTAGTCATGCTGGCCACATGACCACGGAGACGTCTTTGGACAGCACTGGCTCTTCGGCTTTGAAACGGAGATGAGCACCACCCCCTAGAGTCAGGAACGACTAGCACCTTTACCTTTACCTATGGTAGACAACTGAGCTGCAGCATTAGTAAAGAATCATAAGTATCATTCAAAAGCAATGCTTAGAAATTTCTGACAAACTAGAGAAAAACTTCCCATTGAATATAAATGGCAGTTCTGGTGAAAATATATTCTTTCAAGTAATCACCATTTTTAATTACTTTTAATCCTCAGTTAGAATTTACTTTCTGGATATGCAATACCGAATATATTTCAAAGATTATTGAAAACTATCTCTGATTTAGGACTCGGCCCAGATGAACACATAACACTGTCTAAGCGCCTATATAATGACTGGTAAGTAGCAATTTGGGGTCTACACCTCCTACAGAAGAAAGAAAGCAGAAAGAAAATGCATGGGATTAGCTATTAGCACATCTAGCAAGAAAAGACGGAGAAAGAAATTTACTTTATTTCATTCTCATTTTATAGTGAGATTATCATTTATAATTCAATTTTTTTCCAAACATACTATACTGCAGTGATTAATCACATCTTATCTACTTAAAAAGGTAAAACTCTTATGAGTTTGAACCTGAGTTCCATTAAGTACCATTTCATATCATATTATGGTGATGATAATCGGTCTGTCCCACCAAAGTCCCACAAAGCAGGAAGAATGGATCTGACACCTGGAATACAGTAACAAATATATTTGTGTTAAATATATAGTTTTTAAAATTGTGTATTTGGCTTCTGCATGCAAATGTATCTCAATTTAAGAAGTTGCTTAAGTATGACTACAGCTAACTAGAAAACACTATTAAAACATCTTTTAGTGTTCTGACCCAGCCTTAGCAGAAACAAGAAACAGACTCTTTGTCACGAAAAACCCCTCTTTATTTACATCTTGTGAATTAATTGTATTCACCCACAAAAAGTCCAGGCAATAGTCCTTCAAGGAGTTAACTGCAGTACAGACCTTATCAGTTCCTTGTGATAATTGCAAGGCTGTGAGCTCCCAGCCGGAAATTAAGTTCTTTGTGGCATGAAACACCATGAGCAAAACCTTCAGAAATATGAACAGTTGTCTCCTACGACAACTTTTCTTTTCCTTCTATTTATTCCCCAGCCAGGGAGGGGCCATTCAGCGTCCATGTGTGCTTTGCTTCCTGAGTTGACTTCTTGTCCTCTGTTGCTCACCTCTTCTAACTAATGTATTCTGTGCATACATGCATCTGGAACAGGTCCCAGCTGTTCTTCCTCCTCACTCATATCAGCCTCTAAAGGCAGCTGCCTCTCTGGTGGCTGGGAAATGTTGGACAGCCCTGGCTCTATCTCTGCATCTGATGCAGAGCATCCATCAGAGCCTTCCCCAAACTCCAGCACCAGCCCAAGATCCTTCCCAACCTCCTCATCGTCTGAGTCTGCTGCCAGGTCTACTGGCAGCTGGCGGGCCACAACATTTAGTAAAGTCAAGTCTTCCTTGAATAGAGTTTGACTCTTAGTGATTTCCTGCCCCTGCAGTTATTGAGGCAACAATATTGAAGTAAACTTGATTTTATTATTAGAAGGTTTTGTGGTTTTAAATGAAAAATGAGTATGTATAAGGCATACAGGTTACTGTGGCCTAATGTTAAGAGGCTGAGCTTGTTGACTAGCAGGTTGGCAGTTTGAGAGTCAAGTACTGTGTGATAGGGTGAGCTTCCAGCTCCTGCCCACCTAGCAGGTCAAAAGATAACAGCATTCCATGCACCTCAGTGTATATTCATGTGGGCCACATGACCATGGAAGCATCTTTGGATAACATTGGCTCCCTCTGCTAGGAAGCAGAGATGAGCACTGCCTCCTAGAGTCAGACATGACTGACTTTTACTTTTTTTTTTTAATGTAAAAGGAGCTGTTATAGGAAATTTTGACTCCCCATTGTCTGTTGTATCAGGAATAGTACCTTGTTCAGCATGGCCACCTCCGGGCTTCCCCCCAGAGGTGGGGGGTGTCTTCCCTTTGCCCTATACCCAGAGACCATCTGGGCCTGATATGCTTCTCATTGAGGTCCAGCTCCTCTCGCCATTTTGCCTCATCTCAAGCCCGGTGTGGGCTAGAGGGGATGCTCATCATAGCTCTGGTTTCTTCCAGCTCACTCCTATGGTTGGTTATTGGATGCTTAGTGTCGAGGTGTAAATAAATTGTTATTCAGATGCAGATTGGGCAGGGGACATCAAGTCCAGGAAGAGTACTTCGGTGTATGTAATATTACTGAATGGAAGCCCTCTCCACTGGTATTCAGGAAACAGAAGTTGATTGCCACTTCTACTACTGAGGCAGAATATGTCTATCTGTCCAAGGCTTCAAACAATTTAGTCTGGTTTGATGACCTTTTAATGAATCTATGGAAAGAACCTGTGTATCCTGTAAGAATTCACGAGGATAATATGGCAGCAATCAACATATCAAAGGGCAATGGGGCAAAGGTCACACCATATTGATATAAAATGCAAGCATGTAAGACAGCTATCAAAATTGGGTTTTATTGAAACTACCTTTTGTGAGACTAAAGAACAGATAGCAGATATACTCACTAAACCATTGCCCCGGGAACAACACAGATACCTCTTAGGTAAAATACATTTAGTAATGTAAAGGATGTATTTTTGTATGGTATATTGTATGTGACGAATGTATAAATGGCATCAATAGATACAGAGAAGAGGATTGTGAGAGAAAAGTTATTTCTCAATTGCTGTGCCTATTAATGGCTTTTGGAATGGACAAGTGGGTGAGCCAATCAGGAGGCAGCTGATGGGTTTGAATATTCAGGGCTTTTATGTTCCCTCCCCTAACTGTCACAGTTGACAGTATAAAAGGAGATTCTTGACAGAAAACCGTTGGCAGTCCAGAAGGCAGTCCAGAAAGCAGTTCAGAAGGCAGTTGGCAGTTAGGAGTGTTCTGTTCAGCTCTTCTATTAGAAAACTGTGGGCAGTTTGGAAGTCAGTTAGAAGGGCAGTTCTGATGGTTTACAAGACTTTTTCTTCTGAGGAAGAATAGCCAGAACTAACATCGCTTAGAGCGATTGCATATATATATATACACACACACACACACACACACACACACACACACATACAGATATATATATATCTGACAGGATATTTAAGCAAAGTAATGAAATATTATTTAATATTTGAATATATATTGTTTTTATTTTTATGTAAATAAAAACATTTATTGTTAACTGCTTCAGAGGCTCATTTGTTAAAGTAGATCTTAATAGAGGTAAAAGTTTACGATACATTGATTTATTTACACCTCAACACTTAGTCCCCATGGTAGATTGCTGTCTGTGGGTTGACCATTAAAGCAGATTTTGCCTAATGTCAGGGCTTCCTCCATCTACTGCCTAGGAAAGAAAAACCCTTGGCTTCATAGATTCAGAGAAAAGATACTTTTACTAGGAGAGAACTGAAGGCAACAGGTTTCAGCCAAGATCTGAGGCAAAAGTGGGAGAAGCATCAAATTGAAACAAACCATAGAACCCAACCCCCTTGTATCTAGGCAACCAGAGGGCAAGCACCAGACAGGAAATGTTTTGAGAAAGTCTTTGATTCAAATGCATTGTGACTGCTGCATACAAAGCTAGAAGAAATGACTGTGGAGAGATAAGCAAAACTAAGGCTGGTAGCTGCAAAGCTGCAAAGAACAATTCTCCACTGAGCGCCCCCCCACCCACACCTTTTCCATGGCAGCAAGCAGCAGGCTGGCTGACAGGTAGCTTTCATGTTACTATGGTGTTGCACTGCAGTTGGGAGTACATCTTGGATGGTTCTTTGTGGAATAGGTCATTTATTATCTTGGCCTCTTCTTCTCTAATCTGTCTGTCTGTTCGTCCGTCTTTCCATCTATCCAACCATCCATCCAGAATAGAATACCACAAGATTCCTTTTCAATATTATTTATTTATTCATCAACTGTACATGGCTGCCCATCTCATGAAAAACTGACTGGGTGGCAACAACATTATAAAACAATAGATTAAAAACTATTATTATTAAAATTATTTTAAAATCACAAAGACTAAGAGAGAACAGCAGGTGTTAATAATAATGGAGCCATCCCAATTCCTCACTGGTATTGATTTTATTCCTGGTAATAAGCATTGTGCCAGATCTTTCCTGATTCCTTCAGAGAGCTGCAGGGGGGAAAGAACAGGGAACACATCAGTCAAAAGCACATTTGCACACCAGTGAGTTCTTTCATGCTACTGTTTACTTGAGATATTCTCTTGATGACATGCCTGCAAATGCCCTTTTTCCTGTTGGCTCATACTTACCGGAATACATCCACAAAAGCAGTGAGCATGGGCTTGCACTCATACTTAATGTTATGCTTGGCACAGAGGGATTTCACCAGGGGAGCCACTTTGTAATAATTATGTCGAGGCATGGTTGGAAAAAGACTATGGAAAGAGAGGGAATATATCAAGAGGACACAGTAGAAGATACTTCTGTAATTTGGATCCTGCTGTTATTACTGCCCTTCCCATCTCAATGCTGGAGAGTTCTCCTTTCCTACTCAGTACTGCATACAGGCAGGTTGATACAGAAGGGGATAACTTTCACCTGTCTGGTTCTCAAAGAGTTTTGGGTAGGGATGAACAAGCTGAGGTCCTTCTGATTATTTATTTATTTATTTTCATTTATTTATTTGTCAAACATGTATAAGGTAACAGATATAGATATAAACATGATTATGAATACAGGATATGGATACGAATAAATGGGGACAGTAGGACAGGGAGGGTAGGCACGTTGGCATGCTTATGCATGCCCCTTACAGACCTTACAGTGGTGACAAAAGCTGTACAAAAACTGCATTATATACTGTATATAGCTTGTACTTACTGATGTTCAATTTGGAAATTCAAGTGCCCAGTGTACCAGTCATTGAATAGAGATTCATCCACGTTACATGTTGCTGAGAGCTAAGGGGGAAATAAAAAACATGTAGAGTTCCAATGATTTCCTTCATGTTTCTTCCTAGTTTCTATCAATGGTGCAAATAATTCTATCAGTTTACAGTATTGTAAACCATCATTCATTTTACATTTATAATATGGTCACTGCCCAGAAGGACATTAGAAATATTCCCGAATCTAGGCCAGGCAATCCAGGCCAGGAAACTACTGCACTGGTGCTATGTGCATACGATGAAATCCAATGATATATATGTATGGGGAGAAATTTGCACAGACTAGGACAGTGTTGGTGAACCTTTTTGGCACTGAATGCTGAAATGGGAGCCCGTACCCACGGACAGGGGAGCATCAGAAACCAGAACAGCAGCTGCTCTTCCAGTTTCCAGTGCTCCCATGTGTGCGAAAACCAGTTGGCCAGTATGCATGCGCATGCCAAAACTCAGAAGACCAACAGGCAACAGCTGGCGTGCCCAGAGAGATGGCTCTGTGTGCCACTTCTGGCAAGCATGCCAGAGGTGCGCCATCACGGGACTAGGATATTGGTGACATTTCAGATTCAATGGCTTATTCTGCTTAACAGGCTAGCTTCTATTCAGGAGAAATGTAGTTCTCTTTTGGAGTGAATCAACCAACCTGTGAATCTAAAGTTGGATTCTCTGAGTCAACCTTATTGAACTACAGGTGAAACTCGAAAAATTAGAATATCGTGCAAAAGTTCATTTATTTCAGTAATGCAACTTAAAAGGTGAAACTAATATATGAGATAGACTCATTACATGCAAAGCGAGATAATTCAAGCCTTGATTTGTCATACTTTTGATGATTATGGCTTACAGCTCATGAAAACCCCAAATTCACAATCTCAGAAAATTAGAATATTGTGAAAAGGTTCAATATTCTAGGCTCAAAGTGTCCCACTCTAATCAACTAATTAAGCCATAACACCTGCAAAGGGTTCCTGAGCCTTTAAATGGTCTCTCAGTCTGGTTCAGTAGGAATCACAATCATGGGAAAGACTGCTGAACTGACAGTTGTGCAGAAAACCATCATTGACACCCTCCATAAGCAGGGAAAGCCTCAAAAGGTAATTGCAAAAGAAGTTGGATGTTCCCAAAGTGCTGTATCAAAGCACATTAAAAGAAAGTTATGTGGAAGGGAAAAGTGTGGGCTTCAAATGTTGTATTCTTCGTCAAGCCGCTCCTGAACAACAAACAACGTCAGAAGCGTCTTACCTGGGCTAAAGAAAAAAAGAACTGGTCTGTTGCTCAGTGGTCCAAAGTCCTCTTTTCTGATGAGAGCAACTTTTGCATCTCATTTGGAAACCAAGGACCCAGAGTCTGGAGGAAGAATGGAGAGGCACACACTGCAAGATGCTTGAAGTCCAGTGTGAAGTTTCCACAGTCTGTGTTGATTTGGGGAGCCATGTCATCTGCTGGTGTTGGTCCACTGTGCTTCATTAAGTCCAGGGTCAACGCAGCCGTCTACCAGGAGATTTTGGAGCACTTCATGCTTTCTTCCGCAGACGAGCTTTATGGGGATGCTGACTTCATTTTCCAGCAGGACTTGGCACCTGCCCACATTGCCAAAAGTACCAAAACCTGGTTCAATGACCATGGGATTACTGTGCTTGATTGGCCAGCAAACTCGCCTGACCTGAACCCCATAGAGAATCTATGGGGCATTGTCAAGAGAAAGATGAGAGACATGAGACCAAACAATGCAGAAGAGCTGAAGGCTGCTATTGAAGCATCCTGGTCTTCCATAACACCTCAGCAGTGCCACAGGCTGATAGCATCCATGCCACGCTGCATTGAGGCAGTAATTGATGCAAAAGGGGCCCAAACCAAGTACTGAGTACATATGCATGCTTATACTTTTCAAAGGTCCGATATTGTTCTATGTACAATCCTTGTTTTATTGATTTCATGTAATATTCTAATTTTCTGAGATTGTGAATTTGGGGTTTTCATGAGCTGTAAGCCATAATCATCAAAATTATGACAAATCAAGGCTTGAACTATCTCGCTTTGCATGTAATGAGTCTATCTCATATATCAGTTTCACCTTTTAAATTGCATTACTGAAATAAATTAACTTTTGCACGATATTCTAATTTTTCGAGTTTCACCTGCATTTCTTTAGAAGTAGACATGGAAATATTATGTAATTACTTCTGTGAAAGTTATGACATTAGGTTTGGATCAAGAAGAGCAGCATCCAAATCTCCATTCAGCCATCAGCAAACAGATTTAGACCAATAATTTTTCTATTTTCAAAAGAAGGTACCATTCTAAAATAATTTATGAATTATTATTGTGTTTTAATTAAATAAAACTTCATGCTTTCTTCCGCAGACGAGCTTTATGGGGATGCTGACTTCATTTTCCAGCAGGACTTGGCACCTGCCCACATTGCCAAAAGTACCAAAACCTGGTTCAATGACCATGGGATTACTGTGCTTGATTGGCCAGCAAACTCGCCTGACCTGAACCCCATAGAGAATCTATGGGCATTGTCAAGAGAAAGATGAGAGACATGAGACCAAACAATGCAGAAGAGCTGAAGGCTGCTATTGAAGCATCCTGGTCTTCCATAACACCTCAGCAGTGCCACAGGCTGATAGCATCCATGCCACGCTGCATTGAGGCAGTAATTGATGCAAAAGGGGCCCAAACCAAGTACTGAGTACATATGCATGCTTATACTTTTCAAAGGTCCGATATGTTCTATGTACAATCCTTGTTTTATTGATTTCATGTAA